TGAGTTTTTATCCTGCCTGTATTTTAGACTTTTTCTAGGAGGGGTTCTGTGGCTTATTATAAATAAAATAATTTAAGAGAGGGTGGTTGTAGGAGCACTACTGACAAAACTGGTATCAGTATGGAGCAATTCCCTSAACCATTAGCTGCGGGAACCCATTAACAACTTTTTGTGCTGTAGGAGGGACCATGCTGGGCAAGGAGAGTGGTTTGTACATATCCGTGTTCTTTTCTCCTAGCTGAAAGTTGAATTCAGTTCCACACTGTCATACGATGAACTATGTAATTTAATGTGCAGATGCAGTTACTTGCTTTCACTGTCAATAGTTCATGCCCAGCTGACCCACCAGTGCAGTAGCAATCACTCTCTTTACCTGACTGCATGCAGCTGGTCTTAAAAAACCACCCATGCAGGACATTTCTGGGCATWTCAGATGCTTTCAGAGGTTAATCAATACTGGCTTGTGTCTCGTGTTTTTTAAGACCTTAGACAATCTTGTTCATTGTAAGTGCAAAGAACGTYTGGGTTCTGTACTTCAGGAAACAATACCTGGTGTGCTGTCCCTGCCCATCTTGCTTTCATTCGTTGACAAACACAAGCTCACTCCTCTGTTCATTACCTGAGTAAAACTGAATGGTTTTGCTCTGTTTTCAGTGACACCATAACTTTGTTATCAAATACTTTATTAACACAGTTTRTTAAACAATATTGTCAGAACACACTCCTCCCTTCATAACTGAAATACATGCTGGTTGTCATAAAAAGGTTAAAAATCCAGTTGGAATGTTTGCCTGTCGTTTGTATTACGGTGTATTTTTCTGATGTTTCTTTGAAGAAAATTTGTGGTGGTTTGCTTTAGAAAACAGTAAAAGAATACTCCCCCCCAACTAATTGTTAATTGCTCAGAATATTGCAAAACTTAATGATACGTGGAAGTCTTTAAGTATTAGCCATAAATCATGGGATTATGAATAAGCCTTTGTTGTCACAGGCTCGCATACAGTCATTCCAAAACGTCTGCCATTAGGATGCAGCAAGGCAGCTGTCAGCTGTTTTCTTGTAATTAAACAGCCAATGAGCAGCTAATTAAGACATATGTGTATACAGAAGTGGAAGTGGGTATGTTAATGAACTGTAGGAATCAATTCATTAAATGAAAATTTGTCAAAAGACCAAACATGAGCTCAGCGTTTCAGCCTGTGCACGGTGGAGAGGGAGCCTGTGCGGTGCCATTTGGGACACGAGGGAAGCACAACTGGCTCAGGAGCCAGCTCAGACACCAACGTCTCCAATGCTGAGCAGGGAAGTCATGAAACTATTAATAGACACTGCAAAAACTGCTATTTACATTTCAAAGTCCCTTTTAACAAGTTGTTATTCAAACTGACTTGCAGATGAAAAGTTCTTGCGCCCTTTTTTCCCCAAACCTGATTTCTTGGCAGCAATTGAAAACCCRTAGACTGTGTTGTGTATAAAAAGGGGTCTGAAATGCAGGGACCAAGCTGTGGCTTGTAACGTGCTCTGCTCTTCTTCTGGCACTGAGTGGATCCATCTGCAGGGAAGGGKAGCGTGCAGAGCTCAGTGCTGGGGCTGGATCTTTGTGCTGCCTTCAGGAGGGACTGAGACTTGGCCCAGACATGCTGTGGGCTAGAGTGGTTCAGAACTGGGGCTCCTTTAGTGCCTCACCAGTTTTGTGCTTGGTCTGGAGGGGTGGCTCTGCCTCAGCCCATTAGGTCACATGAAATAATGGCTGTAAACATGCATGCAGTGAAAAGCACGTGGCCTGGGCTGACTTGCATAAGGCTTGAATGTATACACGTGTACCAAGCATGCATCCACCTCCTTCTTCCTGGTGGAAAAATTATAGCCAGCTCTGTGCCTCTGGCAAAARCAAGGGAATAGAACAACAGAATAGAGCATTTCTCCTTTTAAGAAAGGAGGGGAAAAGCCTAGAAAGGAACTGAAGGTACTTACAGAGGGATCTGGTAATAGGGACTTCCCTATATGTCTTAGAGTGATGTGAAAGCTTACAAAGATCACAAGTAAAGGGCAGCTGAACAAAAATCATCACTTGACCTTCATTGTAAATTCACTCCCAAATCTCAGACACCTGTGTTACTGAGCTCTGGACAAGTTTACATYAGCTTTTGAAGTTTGTGGCAGGGTTTTTTCTTTCTTTAGCTACTGCTGATGTTTGCTTGGGTTTGTTTTTAAAAGACATTACTGTATCTCTGGTTTGTAAAATGCAAGTGATTAAAGGCCTGGGTTCAGGCAGTTCTGCTCTACTGCAAATTTAGCTTCAAGCTGTAACTTAGCTGATATATTGTACACTAAAATGTATTGAGCAGCTGTGTCTCTAGGGGAAATCTGGAAAAGGAAAAAGGCCAGTATTTTCTCCATTATAATACTAAAAATAATTCTCAGCTTGACAAGGCTATTCTTAATAAGGAGAAATATGCCAAACTGACAATTCAGAATCAGTATATAGCTCAGCTAAAGGAGAAYATATAGATCTTTAAGGTTATTGGGAGACATTAACTTCACATATTGATTAGGCTAACTTTTCTGGATCTCAGAGGTGGCAGAGGGTTTCATGCAGTTCATGTGTGAGCATGACATTCAGTGTAACTAGAAAAGTGTTTGGARAACAGAAATTTTCAAGGATTGATGCAGAACACTGATCAGTCACCAGTCAGCTCAATCCCTAATCCTGTTTTTCTGTGAATGGCATTGCACTTGAGTTTAGAAATGAACATTCTTGTACATGCACTGGAATGACAGGCTCCATGGAAGGTGCTCCCAGAACTGGAAAGGAATCTGTTTGTTTACCCAAGAGTTGGTTCCTCCAGAGGGGTCAGTTGTTATGTTGGAATGGTAGACATTTCCATGGTATTTCAGGTTTTCTTTAGGGTGAAATGCATTCAGTTGGAGCTCAATATGTGCAATAGAGCTGTGCTTTCAGTCTCAATGACAATCATCTCACTATTGACAAATGTGAAAAAAACCATTTGAAAGTTCAGTCATATAGAAACAAAGACCAGAGTAAAAGGTAAGAGATGGTATACAGCAAAACAGGATTATGGACGGCATCTTCAGTTACCTTGTTTTCTTCTTATATTCCATTTTTCCCCAGTAAAGCTTTAATAAAAGGGGTGTAATCAACAAAGATGGGTGGCCTTCAGCTAAGATGCAGCAGGGGCTTTGTCTCAGTGTTTTGCTGTGTTTCTGTCTGCAGGTACTTTGATAGGAGGTACTTGACTACCTGACACTTGTCATGCACAAGCCCTTCCTTTGCATCACCAAATACCTGTACATGTGCTGAGGAACTTCAGCATGAAACCTTTGAGTAAATAACAAATTGGTAAAAGTCCAACTTTAATTAAAAGGTGCCCARCCATTCCAAGGAGCTATTTTCTTTCCAGCACTGTTAATTAATCCATTATGTGGCAACATACAWCTAAAATAGTGTGCTCACTGCTCTCAAATGCCTCTTTAGAATGACTACATCTTTGCAGCATCCTTGTGAAGTAGGTATTACACATACAGCAGCTTATGTTTGGGCAGTCTGTGGCAAAAGGATGAAATGGACTTCAAAGCAAACAGCTGCATAGTGGTTAATGACATGCACCCTTCTGGAGGAGACAATGAAGTTGTAGCTGTGTGTAACCTTCCAGTTCCAGCTTTCTTTGGAGATGGGGTTACTCAGAGAAGAGCTCATACATAAAACRTGTTTTAGCATTCTCCCTCCTTAAGAATCTGAATCCTGCACAGAGCTGCACAAAACCTGGGCTGTCAGGATCAAACTAACTCACACAGTAGCAGAAGTAGGTGACAGCAGCACCAGCACAGTGACCATCCCTCTGTCCTGGGCACAGGTGAGTGCTGTGTCAGGTTTTGTGCCCCTCACAAGCAAGAAAGACATTGAAGGGCTGGAATGTGTCCAGAGAAGGGCAGCKGGGGAAGGGTCTGGAGCCCAAGTCTGTTACTGTTTTTAAGTCTGATAAGGAAGAGCTGAAGGTGCTGAGGTTGTTTAATCTGGAGGAGGCTCAGGTATGACCTTCACTCTCTACAACTCCCTGACAGGAGGATGGAGCCARGTCAGGCTCTTGTCCCATGGAGTAGCAAAAGGACAAAAGGAAATGGCMTCAAGCTGTGGCAGGGGAAGTTTAGATTGGGTATTAGGCAAAATTACTTCACTAAAAAGGTGGGCAGGCACTGGAACAGGCTGTCCATGTAAATGGTGGAATCACTGTCCCTTGGAAGTGTTCAAAAAGGCATGTGGATATGGCACTTGGGGTTTAATGGTGAATACAGTGGTGCTGGGATAATGGTTGGACTTGACCTTAGATGTCTTTTCCAATCTTAATGATTCTGAGTCCATAAAAAACATTAAAAATTATTCTTTGTAGAAGAAACAGCTCAGCATTGTGCTGTGTATTTTTAAACACATACATACACTGGCAAGGATGAATATCAGACCCTGCCCATGTCCCTCCAGAGAGCAGAAAAGGGTGGTAGCTATTGAATCCTCCCTATTTTGGAGAACTGTGCTGACCCAGGAAARATAGGAAGTCTAGGTCTATAATTAGTTCTAGCTCATTTGGAAAGAACTGGTACACCATATGTAATATGGGATCTGTAAAATCACTGAGTAAAAGACGTAAGTCCTTTATGTTACAATGCTTTTTTAATGGACTGTTTCTTGCTAGTTACTGGTTTTTGTTTGTTTTTAGGAGAGAAAACAAAAAAATCAACAACAAAACCCTCTTAAMTTCCTTTAGTTGACTATAGAGCACTTGAACTTCATTTTTTGTTAGGTACGCTACCTTTCAGAGTCCTTMTTTGCTCCATCTGTTAACAGCTTCTTGACTTGTATTTTGCAATTGCATCGCAGGGCTTTTTCAGAAGGAGTCAGCAGAGCAATGCCACATACTCGTGTCCTCGGCAGAAGAACTGTCTGATCGACCGGACCAGTCGGAACCGCTGCCAACACTGTCGCTTACAGAAATGCCTTGCTGTGGGGATGTCTCGGGATGGTAAGCTCTGCTCGCTCGGGGCCTAGCTGCAAAAAATAAAATAACGTGTCGTGTGATGGATGGTAAACCAAAAAACATGGCATTTACATGCTAATCGTGCATTGGGCTGATAGTTGAGATAATCAAGTGGTTTTTAGATGTTGCTGTATATTTTTCTGTTGTATGCTATATGTTTTTAGATGTTGCCGTATATTCTTGTAAATACATATATATCGGGGCATGTACAAAGTTCTTGGATTTATCTTTTTTCCTACTTATCTATTATCATTCCCAGTTAAGAGCTTTCATTTCTTGAAGATGCAGTTTATTAGTCTAATGTTAATACTTCCTCTATGTGTTCATTCCAGTTTAAGTGACCTCCTGTAGTTGCAAGTAGCACTGCCTGGTGCATGGGTACAGATCAGAAGTGCTTCACAGTACTGACAGAAGTTAAATGTGTATAATGAATAATTGAAAAACTGCTAAGAGAAAAACAATGCAGTGTTTTTTCAAAGATAGAATTCTGAAAAAAAGGTGTTCCAGTGCTGTTAATATTAAGCTCAAAATTGCACCTCGAGTAGTGACGAAAGCCGCCTCTGCCAAACAGCAGCTTATGTAATTCAGTCAGAACTGGCTTTGCAGCTGAGACTTGCACGCCTCCCCCACAGAGGAACGGAGCTGCCACCACTTAACCAATTTGAAGATCTGACTCAGTCTTTTCCCCTGCACAGTGACAGCAGCTCTGCATGTTCYACAAATACATACACATTACTCTAGGTACATGAGGCCTGATCAAGGAGATTGTTTCCAGATTACATTTGCTCTTGAATTACATTGTCTTTAAATTTTTTTTTTATTGGCCAAGAGAAGAAAAAAAMCTGAAACAGTTGATCATGTAATGGCTAGTTCCTCCAACGTGTTTGCTTCCCTGTAGAAAAACAGAAGGCAGTAATCGTCTTTCTAAAAGGATGAGGCTTTTACGGCTGATACGGGTCCTTGAAATCGCATGCTGCGTCCTTGGGAATTCCCTGGATGCTGCAAACCAGTTGCTGCTGGCTTACAGCTAMTACTGCTCAAAGTCGTCGTAATGTTGAGGAGAGAGATGTACACACATGCACTTGTGCACACACACACATAGGTTTAACAATTATTCATCCACTAAACATTTTTGCTTTTCACAGCAGTGCTGAAAGTAGGTTTGGTGGTTCTTCCCCATGCTTTAGTCCCAGTCTCAGTAAAGCCTGCCATTGATACACGRCGCTAGACCCCACCTGTTGGCAGGGCACTCTAGGTTCACTCTGCAGTGTGAATGTACAGCTCTGGAACTGGGCAGTTGTCTCAGGCCAATGTGTTCTGGTTTGGCTTCTACTTTTCTAGGTAGGGTTTGAATGCTGAAGAGATGCATCTGTCAAGCTCAGCGGACATAGAAGAGAAAATCTTTTCAGTACAGAAGTGGAAAACTCATTAATTAAGCTAAACCAGTGGCTTCTAATGGTCCATTTCAGTGGCSTGTCAAGACAGTCTTTTAAAGAGCAGGTGCTGCAGATGTGTACCTGTAACTGGTTCTTAGGTCTGTCTATCCTGCTGATTCAGGGTTTGTACTGTGTCCTTCCATGTAATRTTTAAAGACTCAAAACAATTAAAAGACTGTGTGTCTGTGTAGAARTGTAATCTATTGTGTGTCTGTATTTCAGCTGTAAAGTTTGGTCGAATGTCAAAAAAGCAGAGGGACAGCCTGTACGCCGAGGTGCAGAAACACCGAATGCAGCAGCAGCAGCGGGATCACCAGCAGCAGCCAGGAGAGGCAGAACCACTCACACCAACATACAATATCACCACCAATGGGTTAACAGAGCTACATGACGACCTCAGTAATTACATTGATGGGCATACCCCTGAAGGTAGCAAAGCAGACTCTGCAGTTAGCAGCTTCTACTTAGACATACAGCCTTCTCCAGATCAGTCGGGTCTTGATATTAATGGAATCAAACCAGAACCAATATGTGACTACACACCAGCATCGGGCTTCTTCCCTTATTGTTCTTTTACAAATGGGGAGACCTCTCCAACTGTGTCCATGGCAGAATTAGGTAATGAGAGAGAAAAGCTTCAATTGTAATTGTCTTAACAGTACCCTTTGGATTAAAGTGACACRTGCAGCCAGGTGATAGCGAGAATGCTGCTTTAGTGGAGCTGTGGGCATGTATGGGCATTCTTGTGTGAAGTGCACAGTAAATACCCTGATCTCAGGGCACTCGGGAACTCCTTACTGGTCTGGACTGAAGCTCCCAGGAGCCTGTGGGTTGATCAGCTCTACCAGTGTTGCTTTTGCTTTCGGTCCTTGCAACGAGCCCTTGGAATGTTGATTAAGAAGCTGATTTTTCATGCTGAGCAAACAGACGGGGTATTTCTTTATTGGCAGATTGTTTTTTAACCATTTATCTCCTTTTTCATTACCTCAGTACACKTATTCCCAGCAAAATGTGATGAGGCTGATTTTCTTCTGCTCTTATTTCAGAAAAGCACCAGGTTAATCTGAGGGAAATTCTTGTCATTGCTTGAACAGGATCTGGCCCCAGACTGTGAAGAAAATGTTTGAACGTAGCAAGTTTTGATAATTTCTCTAAGAGCCTTGTAACAACCACATTAATTAGCACATTTTACTTTAAACTCTTCCCTCAATGATTACACTTAGGGCTGAATTCCACAAGTATGACTTGTCAAAAGCTGAAACTGGAGTTAGAGTGTGCTGTGTGAACTGGTTATAAACAAAGTGGAACAGGACATTAAAGAAGTGGCTTCATGATTCCATTACTTATGTAAGCAGTCAGGTATCTAAAACTGATTTTGCTTGCTTAAACAACATTTTTTCTAATTATTTTATTATGAGAACCTAAAAATAGTTTGAAAAATCAGGTATTCCACATAAAAATTTTGTGTGGTTTATTTTATRTTCTTTTGAGAAATTTTGCAGAGAGGAAGGCACAAGAGGCTTACTTTTTTAATGTCCTTATGTTGCAGAATACTGTTCTCTGCAATATAATTTATCCTGACAGCCAAAATATTGTGTCTGGCTTCAGTTCAAATAATTTCAGGCAGGTAAAAAGAAAGAAAGAAAAAAAAGAAGAAAAAGTCAGGACAAAGGCAATGCTACCGGCTTTGTCTCAGTCAAATGATTGCTAATTTTCTCATGGAAGGTATTAAAGACTTACATTAAAGCCACAGAAAAAAAAGAAAGGGTTTTTCATTTGCAGGCTGGGTGTTGAGTTTGGAACAGTGGCCTAAACTTAGTTTGTCTTGTTGCTTACCTTTATTTACATAGTGCTTCATTTAAACCCTGCACAGCRTGATTTGGGTGCCCAGCTTTGACGTTGCTGAACAATGTTTGAAGAATGTTTGTCTGCCAGACGAAGGTTTCAATTTAGAAAGGTGTGGCTGTTCGATGGAAGTATTTAGGTGTGTGCTGAAACACAGTCCCGAAGTGAGGTGGAGGTTTGTGAATAACATGGGAATACTTCACCTCCTGTATCCTGCAGGGGCACAGGGATCATGCTGTCAGCTGCTACTACCAACAACAAGTGTTTTAACTACACACTTGTAAAAAAAACCCCAATTGTTCTGAAATACATGAATCTTATGGGGACAAATAAAGTGTAAATTATTTTATGTTCTACCTTTCTGATTGCTCAGGTAGGACATACGATTTGATTTTACCTCATCTGTATGTTAAAGACTTATCAGATACTATCTTACATCAAACTATTGATGAATTAAGCATGAAAATAAACAGACTGATTGGTCCAGCAGTTCAGTTTGTGAAGAGTTGGGCTTGGTCATCACCAAACAGCAATTTCACAGAAGATCCAACAGTGCAGTACCTCAGAAAACCTCCACTTGATATTGACCACCCTTCCTGTTTGGTTTGAGCCTTCCTTTTTGAGCAGAATTGTGRGATAAGTCTCCAGGCCTCTACTTGTGACACACTGAAATGGGAGAACTGGCTCACCTGAAGGGTCAGGGTAGAAAAGGGAAAGACAAAGTAAAAGCAGAACTCAGGTGTCTAAATTCTGTTCAGGCTTTTGAAGRTGTCCTGATGGTTTATGGAACAAAGTTTTATTAATAAATACAAATCTGCATTATGGGTCTTTTAATCAACTGTAGCATCAGAAAATATTTCTATTTGGAATTAAAATACTACATGGAAATTTTAAATCATGTGCAGTAAACTAGGTAATTACTCTTGAAGGGAAGGGAAAAAAATGCTAGTGTTAGTGATTTTTTAGTGTTGCCTTAATCATCTGGATTCTCCAGTTGATGCATTTTCCTGATTTTTTTTTTTTTTTTTTTCATGGTATGAGGGTAGGGGGAAAAAAAACTTTTTCCCTCCCAGGCAGCCTCATGGGACGAGAGTCCTGCTTACGAGAACGCTAGATAGAGGTGGTAACTGTATTTCTCTGCTGGAAAGCCTTGGCATTGGCAGCTCTGCCTGGCTGGCAGTGATGCTGTGTCCCCTGTCCCTGACAGTGTCTGCATTCAGCACTGCTGTGCCTTCACTCGAGGGGTCCGTCACCCCGCTTCTCGCCATAGTTTCACGGTGTATCTGCGGGCCGGGTGTCCAGTGACGGCTGTGACCCAGAGGGTTCCGTGTCCCCTCGTCCCCCGCTTTGTCTCGTGGCTGTACTCCACGGTGTGACGGCTGTGACCGAGAGGGTTCCGTGTCCCCTCGTCCCCGCTTTGTGTCGTTTCCCAGCTGTGTGTCCCCGGCGCCCAGCGCTGCGCGTGCTCCGCGCGCCCTCTGCCGGCGGCTCCGGGCASGGCGGCTCCGGCCGGCCGTTAAATGGCTGCGTTATCCCGCAAGGGAACTCAGATTGAAGCAGTTTTCTTTCTCAGCTCACCCTCTCCCCTCCCCCTGTTGCAGCTGAAATATGCGAGCTTTTCTCGTGTCTGAAAGTACAGCTTTGCATTTTAACGCGTGTCGCTTTCTGCTCTTTCTTTTAGAACATCTTGCACAGAATATTTCCAAGTCACACATGGAAACTTGCCAGTA